GAACGCCTATGTCCCGCCCCGCCCCGCCCCCAGCCGCTCAGCACCTGAGTATGCAAATTAACCAGCCATCTTTATTGGGTTAATTTGCATACTCACTCCTGATTGGCTGGTGGGCATCGTGAAGGTATGGTCAATTTGCATCTTTCTCTTTTATTAATGTAGATAACTAACATTTATTTCAAATATAACATTGCACTAGGAGCTATGCTTTTTGCTTACAAATACAACAACATTGCCAACTTTTTATTACTCTTGATGCTTACAGAGTGTTAAACTGAGGCTTAGAAAGGTAATCCTATATAATAAAAGGGTAATATGCAAATTGACCCTAACGGCAGAACGACCACTGGACCAGTCACTATGAGGCACACTGACCACCTCTTGGTCCCTTTCCCTGTCCAGCAAGCTCTGATTGCCTGATGGCCACCCGCTGCGGGGGCGGGGCCGGTGAGTGGGCAGGAACAGCTGACCTCTTGGTCCCTTCTCCCGGCCATCAGGCACAGATCACCTAATGGCGAATGGGGAAATGGGGGTGGGTGGCAGCAGGGAGCGGGGCTGGCTGAGGGCAGCTGGGGAAGATGGCCCTGATCACAAGCCAGGCCTAGGGACTGTACCTAAGCATGAATTTCATGCACCAGGCCTCTAGTAAAATTATAAGTGACCACATAGTGACTGGACCTTACTTCTTAGTCCTGATGCCTTTTTATGTCTAAACCTGTGCTCTTTCCACTATTCCACATGGCCATTAAGATCTGTGTCTGTTACATTTTGCTAAGGATAGGGACCTGTGTGTTGTTTCTGATTCTCTGCAAAATTAGGAGTTCATATTGCTGTTCCTGATGACTGTAACCCTTCCCCTCAATCATTGTAGCCTCCCAACTGTTCATAACTCAGCCCAAACACCACATCCTTACATTTAACTTTTCTTTACTGACCCAGTTGAACCATCTTTCCTTCCTTGACATTTGCACATTTAATTTTACATTCCTTATGTTCCTTTATAACCTTCCTCTTTTATTGTGTCCATGTTTGGTTTAGCTGCTTACAGGTGTCTTATGTACAACTAGAGGCCTGGTGCACAAAATTCATGCGGGGGGGTTCCCCTCAGCCCAGCCTGTACCCTCTCCAATCCAGGACCCCTCAAGGGATGTCCGACTGCCAGTTTAGGCCCGATCCTGGGAATCAGGCCTAAACTGGCAGTTGGACATCCCTTTCACAATCCGAGACCACTGGCTCCTAACTGCTCACCTGCCTGCCCACATGATCGCCCTTAACTGCCCCCTTGGCTGGCCTGGTGACCCCCAACTCCCCCCCCGCTGTCCTAGTCGCCCCCAACTGCCCCCCACCGGCCTGGTTGCCCCTTACTGCCCCCCCGCCAACCTGGTCACCCTCACTGCCTTCTCCTGGTGGCCTGGTTGCCCCCACTGCCCCCTCCTGCCAGCCTGATCACCCCACACAGCCTACTGCTTGGTCGTTTGGTCGCCCCTCACTAACCCCCTGCCGGCCTGGTTGCCCCACGCAGCCTGTTCGGTTGTCCATTTGGTTGCGATGGTTGCTTAAGTTTTTATATATATACTAGAGGCCTGGTGCACAAAAATTTGTGCACTTGGGGGGGAGGGGGGGTCCCTCAGCCCGGCTTGTGCCCTCTCGCAGTCTGGGACCCCTCGGGAGATAACGACCTGCTGGCTTAGGCCTGCTCCTGGGTGGCAGAGGGCAGGCCCAATCCCTAGGTGCAGCCGCTGGTCGGGCTCAGAGCAGGGCCGATTGGGGAGTTGGGGCGCTGCCCCGTCATGCACAGAGCAGGGCGGATCGGGAGGTTGCGATGCCACCCCTAGTCATGCTCAGGGTAGGGCCGATTGGGGGGTTGGGGCATCGCCCCCTGTCACACTCAAGGCAGGGTCGATAGGGAGGTTGCAGTGCCACCACCTGTCACGCACAGAGCAGGGCCGATCAGGGGGTTGGGGAGCTCCCCCCCATCACGCAGAGAGCAGGGCCCATCAGGGGGTTGGGGAGCTCCCCCCTGTCACGCACAGAGCAGGGCCTATCAGGGGGTTGGGGCGCTGCCCCCTGTCACGCACAGAGCAGGGCCCATCAGGGGGGTTGGGGCTCCGTACCCTGTCACGCACAGAGAAGGGTCGGTCAGGGGGTTGGGGAGCTCCCCCCTGTCATGCACAGAGCAGGGCCAATCAGGGGGTTGAGGAGCTCCCCCCTGTCACGCACAGAGCAGGGCCCATCAGGGGGTTGGGAGCTCCCCCCTGTCATGCACAGAGCAGGGCCGATCAGGGGGCTGAGGAGCTCCTCCCTGTCACTCACAGAGTAGGGCCTATAGAGGAGTTGGGACACCGCCCCCTGTTACACACAGAGCAGGGCGGATCAGGGGGTTGGGGCGCCGCCCTCTATCACCAACAGAGCAGGGCCGATCAGGGGGGTGGGGCGCCACCACTATGACACTCAGGGCAGGGCCGATGGGGAGGTTATGGCTCTACCCCATCACACACAGAGCAGGGCCCGTGGTGGTGGGGGGGGGGCGGTTGGGGCGCTGCACCCTGTCACATATAGAGCCGCAGGGCGATCGGGGGTTGGGGAGCTACCCCCTATCAGGCACAGAGCAGGGCTGATCAGGGGGTTGGGGCGCCTTCCCCTGTCACGAACAGAGCAGGGCGGATAGGGAGGTTGTGGCCCGGCCCCCTGTCACACACAGAGCCGCAGGGTGATCAGGGGGTTTGGTTGCTGCCCTGTGTCACACTGATCCTGGTGCTGGGAGGCCTTGCTGCTCCGCTGATCCTGGTGCTGGGAGGCATATTACCCTTTTACTATATAGGATAGAGGCCTGGTGCACGGGTGGAGGCCAGCTGGTTTGCCCTGAAGGGTGTTCTGGATCAGGGTGGGGGTCCCCACTGGGGTGCCTGGCCAGCCTGGATGAGGGGATGATGGCTGTTTGCAGCTGGTCACACCCCCTTCAGGGTGGGGGTCCCCACTGGGGTGCCTGGCCAGTCTGGGTGAGGGGCTGAGGGCCGTTTTCAGGCTGGCGGGTGACTGAAGCTCCCAACCTGTCCTTTTTTTCTTTTTTTTTTTTAATTCTGGGCCAGCTTTAGCTCTGAGGCTTGGCTCCAGCTCTTAGGCCTCGGCTGCTGAAAGCAGGTATCTGGTTTGTTTGGGTTCTATAATTGTAACACTGTTGCGGTCCTGCTCACTCCAGCTCTGAGATCTGGCTGGCTGAAAGCAGGGATCTGCGTTTGTTCTATAATTGAAACAATGTTGCAGTCCTACTGGCTGAAGCCCAGCTGGCTGAAAGCAGGTTTCTGGGGTTTTGTTTAGCTTCTATATTTGCAACAATGTTTCAAACTGCAAGCTCAGAGGCCGGCAAGGCAGGCGGGGAATGTTGACTTCCTCCGTCACTGAAGCAAGCAAGCCTCCTGTTCGCTTCAAGCTGCCTGGCTGCCGGCCGCCATCTTGGTTGGCAGTTAATTTGCATATTGCCCTGATTAGCCAATGGGAAGGGTAGCGGAGGTACGGCTAATTACCATGTTTCTCTATTATTAGATAGGATAGATAAGTACCCACACAATGCTGCCTCATTGATCATAGGTGGCTGGGTTTTTTCAAATGACCTGATAGTGTTGTTAACTGTCTGTCCTCAGGTGACCGAGCAAAAGAGAAGATGAAAAGTTGCAGAAATGTATGTAACAATTAAGAAGTATAATGTTTTAGTACTTTTGCTCTTCTGAGAGAAGTTTCTGTAGATATGTAGTTTCTGTAGAATGAATAAAAGTTTGCCTACAAAGAAAACTTTATAAAAAAACTGAAGAGAATTCCTCTTAGTCCTCAAGAAAACATGAAACCTAGGCCTTCATACAATTTCATTAGGCTGACTATTTTATAATGAAAATGAGCTTATTTTCAGTGGCTACAAAAATCTCAGAAAAATGCAACTCTATCCCTGTATATGGTCTATGACATCACTGACAACCATCACCACTGTAAAACCCAAACACTTAATTTCTCCAAAGGAATTTCTAAATTTGTTTATTGCCAGATATGTTGTTTCCTTTTGTGGAAGTGGTCTAACTTATGGTAAATAGTATATTTAAAAATGTATTTGAGATAAGGCAGTCATATACAGCCTAGATGTATTTTCTTTTAATCAATAATTGATTATTGAAAATCTTTGCTAAAAATTATAGTAATGAAAGATGGCTGGAAAGAATAACTATGATAGTTCTCAAATATAGCTTTAATTTAAATATTCTTTATCTGAAAACAAACAAAACAAAACAAAAAGCCCCACAAACAAGAAACAAGCACTCAAAACAGAGCTAACACAAAACTCTCAACCAATATTCATGCTTTAATATTTGTAAGAATGATATTGTTAGTTCATTTAGAGTGCACATCATTTATAGCAAGTGTTACTCTTGACACCAAGTGTTATTCTGGCAGGAGTCTCCTCTATGATTTACATGGTTGGTGCCATTCAATAATTAATTAGGTTGCCTAATTTAACGGCGGAGTATGCTGGTTTGTTAGATTTTAATTGAAGTAAACCAGTGCTTCAGGGAGTTTTTAAAACCCTTTCACTGAAGAGTCTTATCTATTTCTTGCTGTTTACACAGGGTTCATACCCTGCTGTTTGGAATTCTACACTGAAATGTGCTTTTGGTAAAGTGAATGTTTGCAAGAGCCCTTGGTGATTTTTTGAGTGAGGTTGCTGCCTCCAATAGACATAGTTTATGCTTTAAAAAGTTTAATTCAAGGTTAGTTGAAAAGTTTAAGGAATTAGCCAGTAATGTAGAAGGTAAGTATTTTGAAGGTTAATAAATTATAAGATGTGCAGAATATAAATTATACTTAAATATTGGGTATTCTTATTATCAGGGCCCCAAATTTACTGACAGTATAAATTGAAATTGAATATAATTTCCTTATTTCCATAGTTGTATAGACAGAATATTGCATCCTTGCCCCTGCAAACGCCCAGATGTAACCTATGCATATGTTACCTTACATGGCCAGTGGGTCCAGTTAAATCACACGAATCCTCAAAAGTGGAGAACTTTTCTCCTGGGTGTGAGAAAGAGATGGGACCATGGATACATGGTCAGAGAGGTGCTGCATTGCTGGCTCTGAGGAAGGGAAAGGGACCAGGAGCTCAGGAACACAAGCTGTTTCTAGAAGCTGGAAAATGAAAGGAAAGGGATTCTCTTTTAGAGCCTCCGAAAGGAAGTAGCCTTTGCCACCGTGATTATAGCCCCGTAAACCCGTGTTGGATTTCTGAGCCACAGAACTTTAAGATAACAAATTTGTGCTGTTTGTGGTAATTGGTTGTGGTAGCAACAGAAAACTAGTATGATAGGTGAGATAAACTTTCTCATGAGCCCCCATCCTCTGTCTAGCAGGGAAAACAGTGGAAACTTATCAAGTAAAAGTACTTCAACCTCTTCTGATTTAAACAGTTATGTATTGAGGTCGCTCAATCTCTTTTGGGTTAATGTTTGCTCTCCCAGATTTCCTCTCCCTTTCTCTGTTCTTTCCCAGGTGGCCCATTGGCCTATGAGGTAGAGGAGCTCACATATCTTCTCGGGAATGGGGGAGAGGTGGCTAGTCTGTGAGAAGCTTCTGGGCATGAATCTGTTTCCACTCATCTTTGCTTGTTGGCCTCTGCTGAAGGTCCTGGTATTAGAGCTGGTCCCCCGACCTTTGGGCATGTCCTATAGAATGGTGCTTTGGGGAAAAGAAATATTAATGATTCAAAGAGTATCCTTTCCAGAGAGGAAATTGATTCTCTTCCCTTGCTGCCTTCTCTAGACCCTGCCATTTCCTCTGGTCATTGAGGTCCCATCCTTAGGCAGCTCTGACTCTTTTGACTAAATGGTCTTCTTAATACTTCTGTGGGGACCATGTGAGAACTTCTGTGTCCTCTGAAGGCTGTGCCTAATCTGTGGGAGGCTATAAACCTTATTTCAGGCTCCATTAACCAATGTTGTGCTATCAATCATGTGCCATTTTTGTCCAAATGACTCAGGGATTCTCCTAGAGTAGCGGTTCTCAACCTGTGGGTCGCGACCCCTTTGGGGGTCAAACGACCCTTTTACAGGGGTCGCTTAAGACCATCGGAAAACACATATATAATTACATATTGTTTTTGTGATTAATCACTATGCTTTAATTATGTTCAATTCGTAACAATGAAAATACATCCTGCATATCAGATATTTACATTATGATTCATAACAGTAGCAAAATTACAGTTATGAAGTAGCAACAAAAATAATTTTATGGTTAGGGGGTCACCACAACATGAGGAACTGTATTAAAGGGTCGCGGCATTAGGAAGGTTGAGAACCACTGCTCTAGAGGCTTTGAGCCTTCAACTACCCACAGAATTGGGTGACCACTTCTGAAGCTTTTAGGACTCTTGTGCCTATCTAGATGTATCTAAAGCATTCACCCAGGCTCTGTGTCAGTGTTTGGCTAAGGTTCGGATATCTGATCTCCTCACCAGCTTCTCTTTATTCTTCTAAACTCTCCTGGCATTAGAAAAAGAGGAAAAGGTCTGGATTTTTATTTCTTCTCCAACTCTGGAAGGGACTTTCCTTATACCTTATTTTCCTTCTTTCAGAGCTCCAACCTCACTTTTTAATAGTAATTAAATCTAATCATGGGGGAGGGTGTCCCCTTCACACTACACAACAAACTCAATGACCGAATTTAACATGCTTGTCCCCCGATAGGATGTAGCTGAAGAACAATGAGACATTAGAAATCATAAAGACTGAAAATACATTGGTTTGGTGTAGAGCTTGGCACATTATGGACCATAAGCTGGATGAATGTTTTTGTAAATTAAATTATATAGGAGTAGAGCCGTATGCTTTCAGTTACTCATTGTCTCTGACTGCTTTGGGGCTACAATTGCAGAACTGAGGAGTACAATAGACATTGTATGGCTTGCAAATACCCAAATATTTACTATCTGGCCCTTTAAGAAAGTATTTGCTGACCCTAATTTAATGTATTAGTAATCTATTGCTATGTAATAATCATAACATCTGATAGTTTAAAACAACAAACATTTACTAGTTCATAGTTTCTGTGGGTCAGAGCTCTGGGCTGCCTTAGTTGAGTGATTATGGCTCAGGGTCTCTCATGAGGCTGCAGTCAAGTTGTTGGCCAGCACTGCAGTCATCGCAAGGCTGGATGGGCTGGAGCATCCACTTCCAAGCGCACACAGGTGGCTGGCGGCAGACCTCAGTTCCTCACTGGCTGTCCGCTCAGAGGCCTCAATGCTTTGCCACACGGGCTTCTCCCTGGGGCTGCTCCACTTGGTAACTGGCTTCCCTTAGATCAGGGGTGGGGAACATCTGGCCCCACAGGCGGTCTACGGCCTGTGAAATCATTTGGTCTGACCCTGTCAAGGCATTAGGGGTGAGTTAATGAAATGTTTGACCATATAGAGCAGGCTAATTTTTAAGTTGATACTTTTGTATGGCCTGTGAATGTTGTTATAAATATCCAAATGGCCCTTGGCAAAAAAAGGTTCCCCACCCCTACCTTAAAGCAGAGAGAGAGAGAGAGAGAGAGAGAGAGAGAGAGAGAGAGAGAGATTACAAGATGGAATCAGCAGTCATTTATAACCAGATCTTGGAAGTAATATACTATCACTTATTCTACGGTGTTCAATTTGGCAGAAGCAAGCTCTAAGCCCAGTCTACCCTCCAGAAGAGGAGATCAAATGAGAGTGGAGACTGGGAGGCAGAGTCACTAAGGCTGCCTTGGAAGGTGGCTATGACATGTAGTAACTCCCCACATTTTTACTCTTTTATACCATCGTGTTATAATGGATTTCTATCACAGTCTCTGGAATCTGGGACTGTGAGAACCAAGAAGAACCAAGTAGTCTAATTTCAAAATAGCCATAAAAGTTGCTAGTCCAGTTGCTGCCTGTGGGCCAAATCCAGGCTAAAACTCAAAATGGTGGAAATACTTGGGAGCCTAAAAGGAAGCATATGGCAAGAATTCAGAGACTGGAGATTGGTGGTTACAGCAAGGCTGATTTTTGGTAAGGTGAGCAGTTAAGAGAACACTTCACCAACATTGAGCACTTTTTACTTGTTGATTCATGGAGTATTTACTAAGCTTCAGGTGCCATGGCAAGCTTTGTGGACAAGCAGCAAACTTGGAAGCAAAGATGGCCGCAGGCAGGAAACATCTTCCAGCAGGTGCTTCCTTTGTATGTTGACAGAGACAACAAGTGACTTCCCAGGATTTGACCTTTTCAGGGTTTGCGGGAAGATAATAGGTAGAATAGAGCTTGTGTTCAGGGATGTGGAGGCAAGTCCTAGAAACTTTTTAATGCATTTCTAGTCCTTCCTAGTTTAACTGAAAACTTTGAAAATACTTGTTGCCCCAAAATTTGTGAGTCCGGACACAGGCATGGAGTGGCAGAGTCTATACAAACTTTAGACTGCTGGAAGCATCCACACACTGCCTTGTTTTCTTTTACCTTCGTTATTTAGCCATTCTTCACAGTCATATCCTTCACTAGGCTCAAACTCTGTATACCATACCAGTGCATATTTAACAAGCAGATCTGGAATTCTGCTTTAGAAACCTCTATCAAAAACTAAACCATTTTTCTTCCTACTGAGATGGATGAAGAGAGGAGAGATTAGGGGAGAAAGGAAAGTTTCCTTGGCTGATCCAAGGGAAGTCAGGTTGATTTACAAAGTCAGGATAAAATATAAAGACCCAATGTCTGTGCTAGCTGGGTGGAATAAGTAACCATGGTGGCCCTGCCTCCAAGACACCGTAAAAGCTTTTGACCTACAAATGCAGTTAATTTCCTCTATCTGTGTGATTAAAAGTCAATTTTAGGATCCCATTAGACTCACATATTCCATAGCCTGTACTTGTACTAATGGTTTATTAGTGTGGAATATTTTTATGGGTCTCTGGAGAGACTGACACTAGGAACTCTGTGAATGTTCATTTCAGCCATCTGTATTTCAAAAGGGAGGGACTTGGAGGAAAAGACAGCCACAAAAATTTATTGTTTGGATCTGAATCTGTGAGACAAATTAAAATAAAATTTTAAAATGAAATAATGGCAAAGCAAAATATGAAGACATAATAGGTAGCCACAGCCATCTTGGTGACTATGAGCCCTTTTTCTTGGAGACTATGGTATCTGATGCCAGATACACAGTGTTTTGAACTTACTCAGCAGTTAGAGGTAAGAGATTGTGAAACTCTAAATGAGCCAGGAGAAAAAAAAAAGGCAAAGGGCTGAGTTTGAGTGAGTGAAGGAAGATAAATTAGATGAGATTGCATGTTGATGACACCAGGGTTGCTCAACTGCAATATCTGACAAACAGCAAGAGAAAAAGGAAACATTTTGGCAGAGTCAGCCACCCTCAGCATCTCTCTTCAAAACCCTACTAAGAAATCCCCACTGCTGGATGAGTTATTTCCTCTTTCTGCAGTCTGAGTACAATGGGAAAATAACAGACCCCAGAGCTGAAATATTGAAGTTAGGAAACAGTGGCATGAGTGAAAACATAACGATGAATCAGACCAAAAGGCCCAGGGGTATGGATCTTCCACCTAGAGGGCTTGAGTTTAGTGAAGTCGATTTTGGTATAGCTGATAGCTGAACTGTCTTTGTAGGTTGTTAGGTATGGTCTCTTGTTCATAACTGTCCTCATTATGGTTTTGTTCATTCATTCTCCTTGCCTGGATGGCAATGGAGCTGCGCCTCCCCTCAGCCCCTCTTGGGCCCTGCCTTGGAAACTCTTATGCTTTCTTCAAAGCCAACTTAAATTCATCTTTTCTCCAAGAAAAGTCAGCTCTCCTAGTCCAGAAGTAACCTCTTTCTCTTTTCTCCTCTTAATATCTGTAGCTCTTTATTAAATTGGTCAATGTCGTTTATACACATGTTATTTATACATTTTCTGTTGTCTCTATTGAGTTGATTCCTCTGGAGGGCAAAGGGCCTGTCATGAACATCTTTATATTTCCTATAACAATTTCTCAGTGATGTGAGGGATATAAAAAGCCGATATAATGAGTCAATGTTTATTGATAAAGTATAAACTAACTCTTAATAATATTAACAGAGATTAGCAAGATCCTAGTCAAAAGTACCTTAAGTTTCTTGCAGATAAAAGGAATTAACCTCTATCTTGTTGTGCCTTAAATGTAGAATTCTGATGAAATACACAAGGCTATTTTTTTTCTTTTGAAAAATCCTGGGAAGCTAGTTTATTTTAGAATTTTTTTATTAAATAGGAAAAAAAGGAATTAACTCCACCTACCTTTGAGTTTCTTGGAGATACAAGGCCATATGGTTGGCTGTTGGCTTCCGAATAGAGCTGTGTATGGTTCTAGAATATATTCTTCCCCCCTTTCTAGAGAAAACTTTTAAACAGAGCTCCATGTGTACAAAGGAAAACAACTGCTATCACTAGATCCTGTGGTTTTCTCTCTTCCTTAGCCCTCCCAAGCCTCTCAAAATATGTTGTTTACACCTGTTGGCTACACTTCCTGAATATGCCTTTTTGTCCTAACTCCTTATAATTAACTGAATTTGATCTTCATCACACTCCAGAAACAGTACTCTAAAGGGTCAGTGACTTCCTCTTGGTCAAAGTCTCTCAGCAGCATTTGCTATTGATAACCTTCTCCTTGTGACTCCCTGCTCCCTTGCTTTGACACTGCTCTGACTTAGATTTCTCCTGGGGAGAGGGGACATTGATTTGTTAAACACACATGTTCCAGGTAGGAGCTTTCTGTGCATCATTGTTTTTGAGCTTCATGACAACATTCTGAGCCAGGAAGTGTTCCTATGCACTCTCATTTGAATAGAGATGTTTTTGTGTTGCCCCATTGGCCAGTTATTTCACACGGAGTTTGTGTGCCTTAGCTGGTTGCAAGTTCCTTGGGAATGGAATCTACACCCTCCACCTCTTCTCAGTTCTTCGCAGTACCTGGCACAACAAACATTCTCAGTGCTTAAGAAATATTTGTGGACTGTTTGTCAATGAAAGTGCTCAGACCTTGAAGATAAAGACTAACAGGAACTTGACCAGTTTTTGTTGAATATCTGTTTTCCAAGTGATGGAAGAGAACTCCTTTCATATATCATTAAAAACAAAACAAAACAAAACAAAAAACAACAACAAAAAAACTCCCAAAACCCTCATTCATGAAAAAAATTACATTAAAGCTATGATTAGATAACTATCAGCAACTGTCACATGTAGGCCAGAGTGGATTTCCTTCCAAAAAACAGCGGTTCTCAACCTATGGGTCACGAACAATGAAAATACATCCTGCATATCAGATATTTACATTATGATTCATAACAGTGGAAAAATTACAGTTATGAAGTAGCAACGAAAATAATTTTATGGTTGGGGGTCACCACAACATGAGGAACTGTATTAAAGCGTCGCGGCATTAGGAAGGTTGAGAACCACCGCTAAGAGAACCTCTCAGCTGGGAGTGACTAAACCCGGAGGCCTCTGAATTAGATCAGGTGATTCTATTTATTATCTCCTCTGGGCCACTTTGTGTAGTTTCTGAGTCAGATGCAGTGGATTTGTACTTTCTGTCTGAAACACAGATACCTTCTCCTTCATTTTCATGTGCGATTAGGACCAGTCCTGGGTGAAACGGGAGAGTGGGGGCAGTGCTGGGGAAGTTAGTCTGTGTCACCCTCTCCATTTCCTCTTACACTCCCTTTATCGCCTTTCACTTCCTCCTTTCCCACCAGGTGCCAGAGGGCTTATGCTTCCCCATAATCTTTCTTGACATGGGGGAAGTGGTGGGAACTGGCATTCTTGTTCACAGTGTGACTACTGTAAAGCTTGTACACTATTGGGCATTCAGAGCCATTGTTTCATTTGTAGTCTCTGTGCAACTCCATGGGGTAGATTTATTATTTCTGTGTCACAGAGGTTGAAACTGAAGCTTCGAGAGGATAAGAAACTTGTCCAAATAACACAGCTTACAAACACAAAAGCTGAATTTGAAGCTCAGCCCACCTGACTTCAAAACTTCTGGGTTCCAAATTGTACAAGGTCACCTGTGCAGAAGAAAAAGAATGATATAAAATTGTGTGCCATTGAGGGCTTCACAATGTATGGTAGAGAGCAGTGCTTTTCCAATAGAGCCCCAGCCAACTTGCCGTGGTCAGAGGGCCAGGGCCTGTGGGGTGGAGGAAGCTGTATGTTGTGATCTGGGACAGGATCCTCTCCTCCCTGCGTGTGCTTCCTGGCATTGTACCTGACCTCTCCAACTAAGCATTCTTAGTCACCTGAGTTGCATAAGCTAGAATTCAGCATTTAGAGTTGTTTTTCTTTGGTGGATGTTCTTTCATTAGTCCTGAGGAAATGAATTTATTGTGCTAGGTCTTTCCTTTTAATTGAAGAAAATACCCAGGTTAAAATAAGGAGCAAAATCCTTTCACCAGCCCTAAGTTAATTGGCCATGGGTATGTGTGTACAATATTCAGGTGATTCTCTTTGCCCAGGTGGATGTCATAAATGCTCACCTGTGACCTGATGGGTGCTATAGCCTGGCAGGATTTTAGAAGCTTCTTCAACACAAGCTCCATGGCTGGAACAGTGATTTGAATTCTCGTTATTCAAGGAAAATTAGTAAGTGCATGTAGATTTAAAAGCTCCTGAAAATCAATCCACTTGAAATATTTTTAAAAATAATTAAAAGAACTGTGATTGAGTCTTTGCTTATTCTTACATTTAAATACATTTAAGTTATACTTAGCACTTTGATAAAACAAAGGTAAATGCTGATTTTTGGGGGGTCTATATTTTACAATATAATTGTATGATAGCAATATTAAAATCTCCACTTAATGTATATATAACTTTTGCAATGTTATCACCATAAAGGTTATTTTTGCCTTAAGTGAGGGCCTTGCCAATTTTCCTAAAACACTCTTTTAATCCTTTTTATTCAGATAGGGGTTTTTTTGGGCCATGCTTATTACATCAGTATCCTTGTTGGTTTTCTATTTATTAATTTTTAGTAAGTCCTTCTCTGCTAGCTTGTGTGTGTGTGTGTGTGTGTGTGTGTGTGATCCAAGAAGTTTTCCAACATCACTTTAATCAATCTTATGAAATCCCACAACTTTTGCAATGTTTGACATTTTGCTTGACAATTTATTGCATTGCATCTGCATTGTTTGATTAAATGTCTACAACATCTGCACTATCAGTCAGAGCGAAGTATTGATGTGATGGGTGGAGAGACAAGCTAGGCTTAAGTGGGGTGGGATACATGGTGACAAGTATTATAAGAGATCTGTCAGCCCCTTTGTGAATATTTTTGTGTTATGATGACTTTTTGCTTCCCTAAACAAATATGTAATTGTGGGATGGGGTATAATGCATGTTCAAATAATGAGAACTTCCTGGGCTCAAATAATTGCTGAATGAAATGGAAATGACCTTGGCTAGATCTGCTCTCAACCTATAAATGCAGCAGATGTGAGGAGCCTACAGGCTAGGGTTGCACATAGGTAAACTAAAACTTCCTTACAAGCATTTTGGTGTGCATACATATAGCTGAAAGCATGCTGGCACTACTGGGATGTTAAATCTCAAATCCAGAGATATGCTTGAAGGCTCATAATTATATCTATGCAATGCCTTTCAACAGATCTAAGTGTCTAGTTTTGATTTAAGGTGAGTTAAGGGGATGGCAAAACTGAATAAGATGGGTTTCAGGCCTATTCTATTATTACTATACTAGAGGCCCGGTGCACAAAAATTTGTGCACTCGGGGGGGAAGGGGGGGTCCCTCAGCCCGGCCTGTAACCCTCATTTATCATTATACTCGGGAGATAACGACCTGCTGGATTATACTAGAGGCCTGGTGCATGGGATCATGAACTGGTGGGGGTGTGTGGCCTATGGGGATTGGTTCACTGTGGGAGCACCGCTCATCCGGTCAGCTGAGCGGCTGTGGACCTGCCCTCTGAGTGGCTGCTCCCTGATCTGGCATCTTCCATGGAGCCAGAGCACTCACCTCTCCAGGGGACCCAGTCAGGGCCAGGCCCAGGGACAATAGCACTGAGAGGCAGCGGAGTAGGCCTCAATCCTGTGGTGGCCACAAACCTGCCTCCCAGCATCGGGGTCAGCTCTGCGAGCCCAGCGGTGGCACTGCGTGGCCTGCGGGTGTCTGGAAGAGGTGGCAGGGAGCGAGGAGGAGGAGTCTGGGGCGAGGAGGCAACGATCGCAGCCCAGGTTTCTGCCTGTCGGCCCGCGATTTACAGCGGGAGCAGCCACTCATACTGGTCAGCCAAGCGGTGCTCCCACAGTGGTAGCGCACTGACCACCAGGGGGCAGCTCCTGTGTTAAGTGTCTGCCCCTGGTGGTCAGTGTGCGTGATAGCGACTGGTTGGCCAGTCGTTCTGGTCATTCTACCATTCAGTCGCTTGGCTTTTATTATGTAGGATTATGTGTGTATAGAGCTTAATAAATATCAGTTTTCATTTCATAAAGTATTTTAGATATAACATGTCAGTAGCAGAGGATGAACATGCTTGCTAACCATCCTCCTCTAACTACATATCTGTGACCACATGTTTGAATAGTATTACTTGCAAAATATAAAAGCATTTCAAAGTACAGTGGGGCCTTGACTTACGAGTGTCCCGACTAACGAGTTTTTTGAGATACCAGCTGTCTCTCGGCTGATTTTTTGCATTGAGTTGACAGAGTAATTTGAGTTAACGAGCTCCTTAACGAGCTCGGTCTCGGAATGAATTAAACTCGTAAATCAAGGCCCCACTGTAATAAACATTTTTTAATAGGCGGCATAATGACGGTTTGCTTTTTCTTTGCTTCTTTAACATGCTATTTATATATAACTTGTTTGTTTTGTTTAATCCTCACCTGAGGATATTATTTTCCATTGATTTTTAGAGAGTGGAAGGGAGGGGGAGAGACAGAGAAACATTGATATGAGAGAGACACATCGATTGCTTGCCTCCTGCATATGCCTGGGATCAAGCCTGTAACTGAGGCACATGCCCCTGAGTGGAATAGAACCCACAACCCTTCAGTCGTTGGGCCAATGCTCTAACCACGGAGCAAAACTGACTAGAGCCGTGGTCCGCAAACTGCGGCTCGCGAGCCACATGTGGTTCTTTGGCCCCTTGAGTGTGGCTCTTCCTAAGCCTTAGGAGTACCCTAATTAAGTTAATAATAATGTACCTACCTATATAGTTTAAGTTTAAAAAATTTGGCTCTCAAAAGAAATTTCAATCGTTGTACTGTTGATATTTGGCTCTGTTGACTAATGAGTTTGCCAACCACTGGACTAGGGCATAACTTAGTTTTGTTTTGTTTTTTCTTTTTGCTCCAATTGTAGTTGGATGTAGGGTTTGGGGTTAATTCTGTTTTTTTGTTTGTTTGTTTGTTTTTGTTTTTCTGTTTTTGTTTTTCCCCTGCTGGATAGCAAGCTCCTTGAGGGAAAATACCCTTGTCTTGTTTTGTTTCATATCTCCAGGATCTAGTATAGGACTTTATAGATGTCTGTTATATTGTTCTTCAATTGAGATAGAAATGACAAACCTAGTTTAGAAGGAAGGAAATGATCAGTTTTGGAGTGGAAGTTAAGTGGGTTGAACTAACTATATAAGGATAGGAAATAAAGCAAGGTTGATCAGTTTAAAGTAGGACAGGGAAGGTTCTCTGTGGTGTACTATGAAAGGGGCAGAGGCCAATGTATATGACCATTCCACTGGAAAAACAAATAAACAAGCTGGAACAAGGTTGCCTGAGAACATATAAACTTGGAGTCTGTGAGCAGTTAGATGCTCTATGTTAGTAACAAGGCTTAAAGCCATTTCTATAGTCTCTTAGGCCTTTTAATTTATGCTCTTTCAAAACTACTTCCCAGTAGGATATGACATCCTCTAAGAAGGTGGCAATGAAGTTCAGCCACTGATTAATGTAAGATGATGAAACCCCTAAAAATGGAGATTTAATTTCCAAAAGTCTGCATTTTAAGGAGATTCCATCACATCAGAAATTTCCAATGACCAACAGATAAAGGGCAAGAAGGTTTTCTGGAAGCCAAGGCATGCATGTACAAAGCTGAATGGATCCGCAGACCTGTGAAGAAATAAGAGCTTAATTAGACAGATGAGCAATTTCCTGAAAAGGCATCTGCAGGCATTGGATGACATCTCATTTCCTCTACAAGAGGCATGAAAACCGTGATGGTTATCAACTCACTGTTTTGGAGCTTAGCCATTCTCCAGTTTATTTTCACTTGGTGGGAGTGAAGGAAGGTGCTGCTTTTGCTTTTGAGCTGGGTTCTCTTAGTCATGAATGTTGCATTTCTTCTATTCAGGGTGTGTGTTAAACTGAGTTCCAGATTATCTGAATGTGAGATTTGCTTTGTGGTTTGCCCTGGGTTTAGCTGCAATCGCTTTATTCAGAAGAATGTCATAAACCATCCTCCCACCCCTACCCCCCTGTTTTCAGTGGCTCAGGAAACAGAAACTAATTTTGATTTCAACTAATCCAAACTTGATTAGAAAAGGAAATATAATGCTACTACATGAAAACATGAAGTTCCTGCCTAAGCCAGGCATGAACTTTTAAAAGTATTCCACTGATTCTTTCCCGTTTGATTTATCATGTCGCCTCCATCTTTCCATTTTAGAGCATGTGACTGAGAGTTTGTTTGCTATACTAGAAATTAACAAGTAATTTCATCAATATATAAAAGCTAACAGAGGCTTGGAAGATCAGAATGTTGAAAGCCCTCTCTGGATAGTATGGGCCTTAGTCAGCTTCCTTTTCCCAGTACTTCTGCTTCTCTGAAATAAGGAAGTTTGTAATCTTTCTTAGTTGCCTTGTGCTCACTTGTCTTTTTTTTTTTTTTTTTACAAAATTGAGTCATTGAAACCCTTCCCATTTCACCATTGTACAGACATGGGGTAATTATCAGGAAAAGAAACCTTTTTATTCTTTGTAGACTGTCAGAAATTCTAGTTTTTAAGCCTCATTACAAGTCATTGATTTGAGATACTTGGAAAAATTTTTAAACAGTTGGCCAGTGATTAGAAATGGCTATTCTTGTTAGAGCTATTCTTTCAGAAGTCAAGTGTAGGTAACTATTGGACCAACTGAAGTTTAAAACAGGGTGTTTTCTTATCATATGAAAAGGATAAGATTTTATTTGGAATTGGCTCACAGGGTTACCTAGCCCCGCTGGTGAGGGTGAACTACTTTACTCAGTCTACTAATTCATATGCTAATCTCTCCTATAGACACTTTCACAGACACACACAGAAATTATGTTTTACCAATTATCTGGGCATCCCTTAGCCCAGTCAAGTTGACACATACAATTAACTGTCAAAAGACCCTTTCTACCATGTAAGCAATTAAGCTTGATACTAGAATTGGAGTAATGGAAGCTATTTTTTTTTTTTTTTGCAATGTTCTGGTGGTTTTAAGAAGTTTAGATAAACCAAAATGATGTTCTAAATAATGTAATAAATTAATATAAAATTCACCATGATAGATTTCACAAAGAGGAAAGTTACTATAAGAGTTCTAAATGATCTCAATTAATTTATAATGAGAGGTTAAAAATTCTTCCAATTAATAAAAAG